GCAGTCTGTTGACATCATACACAGCTGAGCCTGCATGCCCTTAGGCAACGGCGCTGTTTGAATCAACATTGGGTTATAGCGCTGCGGTGATCTTAAGGAGTTTTAACACCTGAGGCTTTATACTACGCCATTATTGCCCCGAGTTGTTTTCTCCCATGATGACACAGGAGTTGCTAGAGAGAGAAATTCGCTTATTGGAATCTGGCGTAGCTTACACAAAAGACTCGAGGTCTGCCTCCTCATCTTCTCGTGGACGAAGACCCGGTTCTGCGACCGATTGCTGTGAAATTAGCTGGACTCTTGTGCGCCAAGCAGCTCCAACAGAACCATATCGCCAAGATCCAGTCCACTTTGTCACAGTGTCTGGTACGTGGCCTGCATTCTTAACCAAAACTCAGACAAACTAAACTAAACATCGCACTGTAGATGGACCAGCCTTATCATCCACTTTACACGCAAATCTGTCTGACAAAAGACTGGAAAGAACGTCGCTACACCCTTCGAGCCATGCGCGAGTCCAAGCTACGTGACGGATACGACTTTGTCATGTCGCGCTCGCACCTCGTTGATCCTTTTTCTTCTCATTTCTCCGAGGATCGATTCGAGACCGAGCAAGGAGATCTCTGCTGCGTTCGCTTCGATATAATCCACTTCCCTGGCGTCGCTTCGCTCCAGCAAGTGTGCGATGCGTTGGCGTTCTTCATGACCAACATGGAGATCGTCATCTCCGAGCAACTCGGCCATGTTGTGCTTCGAGACGACTACGATACCATCGAGGACGAGGCTTTCCACAGTCGATTCGCGCCGAGGAATCGCAGTGGAGGGCAACGCCATCTCGTTTTGTCACGTGTTTAATGGAGAGAGCGATGGCTTTGGCTCGGAGCCTTGTGGGGTTTTCATCGTGGACTGCATCGACCAAGACGAGCTGTATCCCTCTCACAGTAGTGAACGTGTTCGAAGAGATTCCTCCGGGGCGATTGTGTTGACTGCAAGTAGAAGGAGAAGCGCTACAGACCAAGGAGGAGAGCTGGTCGTCACGATGAGACGAGCCACGTTCTTAAAGATCCGTCGACCAGAGTTTTATCTCTCCGATCTGATACTCCAAGAAGTGCACGATGAAATGATGGGCTGGGCTGACGTGATGCTCAAGAGTATTCGAAGCTTCGTGTATGCGACGACTTAATCCCTCGACTGTAATGGCAGCGGTCCTACAAGTCGCACAGCTCCATTAGTATTCGCCTCATCAGGCTCCAAGGCGCATGAATAGCCCAGCAATTGGACGCCGCGCGTAGCTGCTACTGCGCACAGTTCAGCAAACTTCTTGTCGTGTTGGATTGATGGCGCAAACGTGTTGCAGTCGTCACGCTGCACCAGGAAGATGATAGCTCCACTCACTTTGGCCGCCTCCTTCTCCTTAGACTCGTTCGTCTTTGTAGACAACAATTCCGTCAGCTCCGTGACGTGCTTCTGTGCTCGAGTGGACACTGTATCGGGGAATACAGCGCACCGAGAGGTATCCTCGGATCCTGCCAATGCCAGAGTGACGCTCTTGACCTCGACATATTTCTCGTGAGCGACAGTACCGTCGGCGTTATTTGTAGTCAACACGAAGTCCACGCGACTGTTCTTAGCGAAATTGA